GGAAAAAAAAAAGTCCTGATTTGTAGCATTTACAGATTTCTGTTCCATCATGGTTAATTTTAAGCTATCAATGTGATGCAACAAGTTTGCAAAATTCCTGAAAATTGGTAACAATTGGCTTTTGCAAGCCATTATGAGCTAACTTTGCCACCACACCACTGACTGCATTCCTTCTGTCTGTATTGTACTGCCATAATTTTTTTCTGATTTTTATTCTTATATTTAAATAACCATCTAATTTATAGTTTTGGTTATTATGTAAATATATAAAAAGCAAGGAATCGGTCTACAGGCATTGAAAAATAATCTTCACTGTTTAGTTTTCAGAAGTTTTTTGTTTATTTTATTTATTTGTTTGGGTTTGGGGAAGGGATTTGGCTACAGGTAAACATGTGTGATCTCTTAGCTAAAAAGTAGCATGCTTAAAGTGGAACACTGATAAAGCAACTGGGTGAAATCAATGACCATCTTGGAGGTGGATGAGAATGTTTACACACATATAGATGTTTCTATGTACCAGCAACATCTGCTTTTACATGCATAGAGTTGCTATTTTATCTAACATGAAGAAGTATCTTTGATTGGATTGCTCTTCTTGCTTTATCTCCCTAGGAAGCCATTCAATTGTATCCCATTATTCTCTTTGATTCCAGTGGGTGTTCTATGCTCAGTTTGGCTCTTATTTCCCCACCCAGATGACCTCCTTTCACATGTCTCTCATATTGCTCTACCTCCTGCTGATTTTGAAACACAGCAACAGATGGAAATGTCCGCATTAAAACAGAGAGGTTTTGAAGGATAAGAAAAGAAAAATCAAGGAAGAATAATTGTCCAAATATTTATGCCAAGTTCGTTTTAATGTAAATGGCCTCTTCCTTCTTCCATTCTTTTTTTCTGGTCCAAAGTATGTGAGGAGGGGTTGGAGCATGTCTCACACCATGACATCCACATCCTTACCTTAAAATGGCAACATTATAACTCAACTGGGTTTATCAAAATTGTTCTAGCTAATGTTTCAACTCTTTTGTGATAAATTCTTAACTTCTAGCATTAAAGTCTCAGGGATAAAAGAGACATATCTTACTCTTTTTTTTTTTCTTTTATCACTATTTTTCCGGAGCATAAAAAATACTGAATGGTACTAAAATAGTAAGGAAACTATAGTGTTCACAGAGGTCTACCTGCTTTCTTTCAATCTTTCTCTGTAAGTTGTTGATGAGAATGAAACAAGGGCAAGAATGACTAACCAGTCTATAGATTTGGTCCATCTTTTGAAGAATTTTATGCTCAAACTGAATGAAAATAAATCACTTAGTAAGAAGAGATTTCCTGGGATGCATTTTTAACAGAGTTGAAAATCGCTTTGATTACCTTAAATCATAGACAAGCCATATGCAAAAAACTAAGCAGACATAGTTTCATAGTCAGGTTTATGAATTCTCTCACTACCTTATGATAGAGAGGTGGCAATTGCTCTGATATTGATTATGGTAGCCCATACCAAACCCTGACAAGTTCATGATAAATTCCAGTCAACCCATGCTTCATCTTAATTACCAATAAATGCCTTCAATGGGTGATGGTCCTTTAATTCCTATGCCTATTAGTGAATCATTTATTTTCTGTCTTTTATGACAACCACAGACTTTACTGATACTGAGGAAGATGTTAATTTTTCCTTTTTAAACTTTGACTCTGTTGTTCCTTTCTTTAAAGTGTTGTCAGGAAGAGAAAACACATAACTAGGATAATCGGTCACAACTGGATTGCAGGCTGAAAAATGAAGTAAACTATGACATTGCAGGTTCTCCCAAATTCAATTAATCAGAGACATACCTGAATTTGCTTCATTTATAAGGTGAAAGAATATTTTCAATGTCCAACCTGAAATTTCATCCAGAAATCTGTGCTCTTTCTCTCTTTTATCACTGTCAGTAATAAAAATTCTGCATCCAGCACTTAGCTGACAATTTGGTTGATGATGCATGAGCCACAACAGAAAGCATCTTATCTCCTCTTGAGTGATCTTGATACTGAATTCTTAAGAGGATCAGAAATCTAAGTCCATTAGAAAATTCAGGTATGATTCAAAGATGCCTCTAGGAGGCATGTATATCATTGCTAGGCCACTTGGGCTCTAGTGCAGTGGTTCTCAGTCTTTCTAATGCCGCGACCCTTTAATTCAGTTCCTCATGTTGTGGTGACCCCCAACCACAAAATTATTTTTGTTGCTACTTTGTAACTGTAATTTTGCTACTATTATGAATTGTAATGTAAAGGGTCAGGGCATTAGAAAGGTTGAGAACCAGTGCTCTAGTGTATCTCTTCTGTTTTAATTTAGAGTGTCTAAATAAAATAGCAAAGAAGGGAAAGGAGATAAAATAGCAATTTAGTTTAATTTGAACCCAAGTTAAAGAATCAGGGGTCAAAACAACCTATGCCCATTTTTTAAAATTAATACACAAATTCTCAAACTTGTATGAATGTGGGAAACAAAAGATTTCATCTAATCACACACATATATATAAAGATGGTTAATTGATAAAAAATGATATTTAAGTTATTAGAAAAATTCTGAAGGATAAAATGCAGTATATATTTTCTATTAATAACTATTCTACATGATATTGCTTTGTCCATTTTACTATAGCCTGACTAGTGACAAACTGGGTTGTGACACAATATAACATCTGCTTCCTTTATTTTCAATAACCAGCCACTGAATTGCTTATCTCTTTCCTCCACTATGACTCCAGTTAGGTCCCATTGTTCATTAAACTAGCCAATTTGTCATTCTCAGCTCCATCAAAATCCAACCCAAACATTATCTGATTGTCCTTTCTCTTCTCTTTTCCCCATAGATTACTTTTCATATATAAACTCTATAAACTTATGTGGCCTCTTTCCATTCCTATTATATGTAGTGAAATTTCATTTCAGACACAACTTGGAGATTATATATATATATATATATGTATGCCTAAGTGACTGAACGCCTGGTTGACCAAACAACTGGTCACTATGACGCTCACTGGCCACCAGGGGGCAAATACTCAACTCAGGAGCTGCTCTAGTGTATCTCTTCTGTTTTAATTCACAGTGTGAGTGCCGCTCAGCTGACCAACCCATCCCAGCAGCCAACCAGCCCTGCTGCAGCCACTCATTCCCTTAGTAGTCCTGCAGGTCCAATCTCTGGAGAACTGGCCAGACACCAACGGACCAGTGCCTCCAGCACAATCTCGACAGTGCCACTAGCCTTTTGGAAGTTAGCCTTGGGCACCATGGCTGTTAACCCTCCCTAGATGCTCTGCAAGGAAGAAAAATATAAAAGTGGCCACCAGATAGCTCCCAACAACTGGTGCAAACATCAGCCTTATCCCATCCCAGCCCCCACCTTGGTACAGGCACCAGACACAGGGCTAACAGCTGGTGAATGCCACTGTAGTGGCGCCAGCCTCTTCCATTAAGGACAGAGTGGGTGTGAGCCTGCAGCAGGTACAGTGGGACCAGGATGAGTGGGAGCTGCAGGCAGAAGTGGCAGGCAGCTTGGACTGTTGGTTTTGGCCTATTCCCCACAGGCTATGCCAAAGGACCCCACCCATGCACAAATTCATACACTGGACCTCTAGTGTTACATAAAAGAAACATATGGAACCTTGCTCCTATGTGAGAAAAAGGGCAAAGACTAAGAGAATATTAATCTTTAGAGTATGTCTTCCATGTGGCAGGCTTGATGCTAGCAAATTGCTATTATCCAATTCAATCAATTTTGTAGTATTTTTTATCACCATTTTATAAATGAGGAAACTTAAGTTTCAACTCAGTTTTATTCTACTCTAAGGTCAATACAATATGCTATATCCAAAACACTCACTTGACTAATCTAATTGAAAACATAGTAGGTTGTAGAATGTAACAATTTGGGTAGGGTTGCTGGCATCTTTCCAAACAAGAACAAAGCTCAAAATGAGAAACAGTAATTTAAGACAGAAAATAGTATAAAATTCAATGGGATAATTGATCTTAAAAATACAAAGACCGTCTCTACAGGTGGCTACTGGTTTTATTATTTTGAACTAGACCAGTTGATGTAATCAGCTTGCCAGATTGAAAAATCCAACTGGTGGTTTTGTTATCACTTATTTTTACCCTGAGAGTCCAAATGAAAATAAATGAAGAGTGGTCAACTAAGTTCTGAGCAGTAGAACTAAATCTAGTTTCCAATGGTTCATAAGTTGAATGTAAGTGCATAGTTAGATAATAGTAGACAGAAACTTACAATTCTATAATAATAAATAGGAAAAAGAAAAAAGATATGCTCATGCTATATTATTATTTTTTAGGTTCTTATATAAATATTGCATTTAGTCTTGAGTTTCACATGTTGAGAATTTGGAGAGGTTGTAGAAAAGAGCAACAGAAGGACTGGATTTGTGACTACAGGCTGAGAAAACTGTAATTTAATTCAATTAAATATTATGTTCTATCTATCTATATAAAGAGGGAATATGGAAATTAACCCTCACACCATCACAAAGATGGCTGCACCACAGCAGAGGCTGAGTTTCCGTAATGAACCTTAATGAGCAATCAGCAGGGACCTGAGGCTGAGTGGTGCTGGGCCAGGGCAGGGGACCTGAAGTTGCCCCCCACTGCCCGATGGGGCTCAACAGGGGATCTCAAGGCATGCCCCATGCTCTGGCCCAGGCTGGGGGAACTCAGGCGGTTCCCCCTGCCCTAGCACCGGGCCAGGGGACCTCAGTCCATGCCCCCCATTCGGTGGGGCTTGACAGGAGACCTCAAGCCATGTCTCTGGCCTGATGGGGCTTGATGGGGTCCTCAAGGCACACCTCCTACCTCAATGCCAGGTGGGGAAACCTCAGCCTGTTCTTCCCATCCTGGCACCAGGCAAGGGACCTTAGGCCACACCTCCTGCTCTGGCACCATGCCCAGGGGACCTGAGGCTGCTCCTCCTTCCTGGTGGGGCTTGACAAGGGTAGGGCTGCTGGGTCTGGGTCTCTCCCAATGGGGATGGGGCCGACTGGGTCTGGATCTTATGCAATTTTGAGGCACAGGTGGGTGGGCAGGGACTTGACTCTGGGTCCCTCAGTGCACCCCAGACTCTGACAGGAGGAAGATTTTCATATACATTTTACTAATTTCTTTAATCTCTGACACTTCTATTATCGAGAAAGGGCAAACAGAAATATTAAAATATTTCCTCTAATTAATCCCCTTTTTAATATGCATGGATTCCATGTATGGGGCCACCAGTTCTTTTTTAAGACATTTAATTAAGAACATCTATAAAATGACAATAAGGAAATATAAGTGCCCTAGCTGGTTTGGCTCAGTGGATAGAGTGTTGACCTGTGGACTAAAGTGATTGGGTTTAATTCCAATCAAGTGCATGTACCTTGGTTTCAGACTTGATCCCTGGCTCTGATCGGTACTCATGTGGGAGACAGTCAATCAATGTGTCTCTCCCATATCAATGTTTCTCTCTCTGTTTCTCCCTCTCCCTTTCACTCTCTCTAAAATGTAATATATATTAGAGGCCCAGCACACAAAATTCGTGCATGGGTACAGTACCTAGGCCTGTCCTGCGATCAGAGCCATCTTCCCTGGCTTTCCATAGCTGGCCCAGTCTCCCCCCTGCCACCCCCCCCCAGTTCCCCGTTCTCCATCAGGTGATCAGAGTCTGATGGCCAAAGGAAGGGACCTAGAGGTCAGCCATTCCCACCTGCTTGTCAACCCCACCCCTGCCACAGGTCACCCTCTGTGTCTGGGGTGACCAATGGGGCAGGGGCCTTGGCCTGGCTCTGCCCACATCCCCCATCACCCTCCCCCAGTTCCCTGTTTGTGATCAGATGATCAGAGCCTGCCAACCAGGAGAGGGACTGAGCCATTCCACTTGTTCTCTGGCCCCACCCACCCCAGTTCCCCATTCACCATTGGGTAATTGGAGCCTGCCAGCCAGGTAAAGGAACTCAGAGGAGGTAAGCTTGTGTCATGGTGACTGGTCAAGTGGTTATTCTGGTCATTCCACCATTAGGGTCAATTTGAAAATTGCCCTCTTATTATATGGTATATACATCCTATATAATAAAAGGGAAATATGCAAATTAGCCATCACTCCATCACAAAATATGGCACATACCCACAAGATGGCAGCACTCAATCCCCTTAGCTTCCCCTGAGTCCCCCAATCCTGGGGGACTGACACGAAGAGCAGGCAGTATGAGTGGCCTGGCGGAATTCTTGCTTCGTCACCACTGCGGAGGGCCTCTGGGCTGCAGGCATGGAGCAACTGGGGCAATACTTGCTTCATCACCATGGCAGCGCCCCGGCCACGGAGGGCCTCTGGGGAACAGGGAGGCCAGTCCACAGCCTCCATGGCCAAGTGCAGGCTGGGAAAGGAGAAGGTGGGCCTGCCTCTCATGAAAGTAGCATGGCTCCCTCCCGCAGAATCTGCGTGGATCCCTTCTGGCTCTCACAGAAGCCACACAGCTCCCTTTGAAGCAACATGGCTCCTGGTGCTGCACTGCAGTTCCCGCAGGCTCCCGAGGAAGTGGCAAGCAGCCTACTGTGTGAGATATAGCGCAATGGACTAGTATATATACTAAAGGCCCGATGCATGAAATTTGTGCAAGAGTAGGCCTTCCTTCCCCTGGCTGCTGGCACTGGCTTCCCTCTGGCACCCAGGACCACGGCTTCCCTTGGGCTTCCAGCAGGCACCCAGGACCCACAGCCCTGGCTTTGTCTGGAATGTTGTTCAGAAGGACATCCAGTCTAATTAGTATATTATGCCATATATATATATATATATATATATATATATATATATATATATATATAAAATAATTTGGCCACTCAATGTTTATATATATTAGAGGTCCAGTGCATGAATTCATGCATGGGTGGGGTCTGGCTAGCCTGGCCAGGGGGAGGGGACATGGGCAGTTGGCCTGCCTGCCTGCTGATCAAACTCCTGGTCAAGGGGAAAATTTGCATATTGGCCTTTTATTATATAGGATATGCACTGAGTGGCCAGATTATTATGAGTTCAGAGATCATCATAATCTGGCCACTCAGTGTAATATATATTAAAAAACAAAATTGCTAAAGAAGATCAAAAACACTAAGTACCATATTATATCACTTACATATGTTATTTTTATGTAATATGCACATTCCATCTGTGTTTTCCTATTTTTAAATATGAAGAAATTAAGTCATCAAAAAGTTAAATGATTTTCCACAAGTCACACACCTAAAAAAAGTCACAGAATAAAGTTTCAAACCTTCAATTCCTGACTCCATTGTTTAGAGGTTGAAAGTACTTAACTATACTGGATCATACATAAGATATATATGCAGAGACAAGGGGTAAGTGACAGGTGGGATATAGGACTGGAGCAATTAGAAGAAATCAGACAAGAGTTATATATAGAATTTTTATTGTATCTAAATGTAAGGTCAATAGAGAATTTTAAGATGGAGTAGAATATTTATATTCATATCAGAAAGGTAACTTCAGTAGCGTTATGAAGGACATAAGATGTATAGAATCATAATTGGAGGAGTGCTCTAGTATAGTGAAAAGTTATGAGGACCTGAACTAAGGCAGTGTCAGTAGGACAAAAGAACAGATTAAAGACTATACTACAAAGTTATTTTATAAAGTATAGTTAATAGATTTTGTTGATTGCTTAGATGTGGGTTGTAAAATAAAGGGGGAAACTTGCAAAGACTTCCAGCCTCTAACTGGAAATGCCATTAGTGGAGATATAAAATACATAGAGATTAATAAAAGAAGAAGGAGAAAAGTTTGTGTAGCAACATAATGAGCTGACATTCAGACATGTTAAGTTTAAGTTGTCCCTAGTAAATCCAGGCAAATATTTCTAATAGACAATTGGGTATATAGATAGGTTCACAGCTCAAGAGAGAGACATAAATTTGTTACATACATTTGAAGTTGAGGATATTTAGAAAGCAGTTAAAATTGTAGGAAAAGATGATATTGTTCATGAAAAGCATGTGAAGTGAAAAAATGATAAACAACAAGGTCCCTTTGGACATTAAAGTTTGTATAGCAGGTGGAGTGAGGGAGAGAACACTGACCTAGTCACTTCTATGTGTCAGCTCTTGCCACGCTCTTTACCATCAGGACGTAGAGTGGGGGAAAAAGGTTGAGCAGAAATTCTGAAAGACAGAAAAAGGTTTTTTTGTCAATAAAGTCAAATGTCAAAAATCAATTAAGAAAAATGGCTAATAGATTTGATAGGAGATTAATGGTGGCCAATTTAGTGAAATAGTGTGGAAGGAAGTGATAATGCTGAGTTAGGAAGAGAAATGGAGGCAGTCATTGGAGACTCTTTACCAATGAGTCTTCATTATCTTCAGCTCAGCCTTTGTTGATGCTCCTGTTTAATCAAATTTAGGTTTTTGCTTGAGTTAATTGGCCTCTGGTTCCTATAATTTGTTTGTAGTGAGTCCATCTTGTATCAACACACAAAACTGAAAACCCAGGTGCTTTGAGCAGTCCAAAACTTCAGCGTTTCCTATCCTGCTTCATGAGAGAATCCACAATGTTCTGTCACTGCTAAATAACTCAACCCAGTTCATGCTAAACTCATATTATGAAATAAAGAAAAAGATATCGGTTAGAATATTTTTTAGTTGGGTTTAAAACTAAAACATCATGTAAATTTAAAGCATCCTATTTTCTCCCATCTTCATTTCTTCTTTCTTCCCTCCCATTACTCCCTTATTCTTCACAATTTCTAGAAATATGATGGCAGAATTTGTGCATTGCACAAGCTTCCTTTTTGCTTTCTGCTTTTAACTTTCCTTTCCCATTGTGGTAGAGTAACCAAAGAAGATGGAAGCAAAGTTTTTGCACTCATTATTTTTTTTGTCATTATTAAAAATACTAACCATTGTACCAATATGGAGAAGTAGTTTTTTCCTCTCAAAATCCTAATATGTTGATTGATTCTAGACATACTAATCTCCCTAAAGCTTACATTCCTACACCCATCACCACCCCATATTTCTGGGTATCTGAGAGTCTAAAGCTAGGGTTTTGTAAAATAATAATTAGTGTGTACTTTTCACATTTGAACATAAATAGTATTTATACTTATTAAAGCTTTGCTTTCAAGTTTTAATTAATCTTTATAATAATAATTAATATTTTCTGCTGTGTACTCTACAATTGCTAGCTTTAGAGAAATATAAAAACTTGATAATTAGCATTCAGACTGCTAATAAAAATGTGCAAGTACTGAACTTATAAATAGATCTAATAGTAATTACAGATTTTCAGTAATCTAATTTATATTCATTGGCTTCCTAGAAGTAAACAAATTTAGTAGAGAAACCAGTTAAAATTGGAATGCTAAAATTCAGGGATAGAAAAAGTAAAGAACTCCGTTGGTCATTCAACATATTACATTGTCCATCATAAGGAACCATTATTTTTAGCCATAACATCTAAACATGAATTTTATATTCCTAATTATCTCAATATCAACATAGTATAATTTTTATCAAGGCAAATTCATTGGTCATCTACTTTGTTTTAAACTATATTGTTTATACCATTTATTTTTAATTTATTTTTAATTGCAGTTGACATATAATTTTACATAAGTTTCAGGCATATAACATAGTGATTAGACATTTTTATAACTTATGAAGTGATTACCCAGGAAGTCTAGTAGTCATCTATTTATACCACTTAGAATGGTGCACATGTTTCACAAAATCAAATTACTGGCATTACTGGATGTTGCCATTACAAAAATGTTGAAAACTACTTGGCTCAAAGCTCGGTGTGCACATATTTCTGATTTGAAACCTTACATAATTCTCTCAGTGGTGGTCCCAATCCAAATAAGATCACATCACAGAGGAATTATTTCATGTTCTCTGTGCTAGTTTCACATTATCCACATTATTTCATTAGCCAACAAGTGAATAAAAAAATATATATCTATACTAATAA